GAGAAAACTCCTACTGGGTAATTCATTTAAATTGTATTCGCATTCAGGTGGACTGGTGGACGTGCGTGGTGCTGGCAAGATGGTATTGGCCAGGCGTGTCACCAATGATAACATGCTCACTGCGATGCGGTATTGTCTATCGACCGAGGCGAAAACGGCAGCTGAGGAGTTGAAGGAGGGACTCGCGGTAGGGATGGAAAGGGTGTTTATAGTGGCAGCCAATTTGGTGTTGGGTTTTGGGTATCTGTGTAGCATACATCGGCTCGGCCGACTCGGCTCACATAGGATGTGGTATCTTTTATAGGCTCTTCAAGAGAAAAAATAAACTGCGTTGCGGTCGAGTTTTTAAAGTGCGTTGAAATTTTTTTTTCGGAAGTATTGGAGTAGAATCGTGGCGGAGTGGATAAGATTTCTGAGTTATATGTACATACGTTAAAATGAAAAAGTAAGTATAGTAGGAAGTAAAGTAGAAAATAAACAAATAAAAAAACATGAGTAAAATGAAAAATATGAGTTTAATAAAAAATATGAGTTTAGTAAAAAATAAGAGTAAAATCAAAAAAATATGGGTTTAATAAAAAAATATGAGTAAAATTGAAAAATATGGGTTTAATAAAAGAATATGAGTAAAATTGAAAAACATGATTAAAATTAAATTAGGCAATTTAACAGGGTGAATTTGTATTAGAGTTCCTTTTTTCCACTAACTGCTAGTTTTAGAAAAGTTGGTAGAGTTGCACATTGATGAGGTTATCGTTCTTCAGGAGGAGCGGAAGGCGGGTCAAGGAGCTCGGGCGGGCGCTGAAGCATTTGAGCATCAATTACCGTTGGAGTTGGTCACCTGTGAGGTCTGTGCGATGAGGGGTCGGCATGATGATGAGGGCAGAGATGTGAGGCCGAGGGCTGCGGAGTTGAAGGAGGTTAATAGAGATCTACGCATGTGTAAGCTGGAGATCCCTGGTTCGAATCCTGGTGACGTCATTTTTGAAGTCATTTCATGTAAGCATGAAGAAGAATTGGTAGAGCTGTAGGGGGTTTAGGGCGTGCGCTTTCTGTAGTAGTACGCAACCGCATAAAGCGAGACTTTGAGCTTGATCACTTCGAGGTAGTTATAGCTCGTTTGTCGCTAACTGTAGCCATCTTGGCTCAAGTTTCTTTTTTTCTCTACTGTGTCGCGGGTGTTGGCGTGGGTTCGATCCCGGCAAGTGTACTTTCTCTCGACCAGTGTGTAAAGTTGGTAAAAATATGGAAATTTTGAGGAAAATTTGGAAAATTATCGTTGGTTTGTGTATAGTTTTACTCGAAATCGTGTGTGGATTTTCATAATGGAATGAGGAAACTGATAAGCTCAGCTGAGGAAACCAAATATATATTCTGATGCTGTTCCTGACAGGTCCGGTGTGCGCCTTGCTGATGCAAAGCGCTGGGGAGAATCTCTGCCTTGAACCGCTTCGAACAGCTGATTGGGCTCGGACGAGAGGAGGAATCTTATATGTTCACTTCGTAAGATACGGATTAGGTACGATTGTGTGACTTGTGTTGTGATGAAGATACGATGGTTGAAGTCGTTTGTGAAGTTATTCCGTCGTATGGTCCAGGGTGGACAAGAGGGTGGTTTGTATGGATTCTTGATTGGTGAGTTGGGGAGTTTGCGAGTGAGTAAGAATCATAGTTGAAGTGATTGGAGACACCATCACACAATTTGCGATATGCCAGAACACATAATAGGTGACCAGTGGGTTCGAGATCGGCTCGGGAATTTTGTCATCGTGTGTGTACTACCCTCCTTCCACTGGGAAAAGGGGAGAATTGAGAGCCTCGGGGGGAGAAATGTCGGATGTGGGATTCGAACGGGAGGTTGAAGGATAGGGGGCATTCTGTTGCTCGGCTCTTATGCTGTGAAGAAGTGTATTCTGTTGACATAAAATAATGGATGGCTATCATTACTCCGTATTTTTCATACCACTCCTTTTTCAACTGTCTTCTGTCATTCAGGTGTTGTAGTGGGTATTCTCGAGTTCCTATTATTCATTGTAGTGGCCCCTTTCATTTTCATAAGAGATCTCTTCAGAGTAGCTACACAGTTGGTGGTCCCAGCCAGTGAGTTGATGCTCAGTGCTTCGCTCCGCCATTTTTCGATTTTCTGTTGCAGATGGTAAAGCTCATTGCGGATACAAAATCGATCCGTCGATCGATTTCCTGAAGGATATGGTAGGACTTCGCTGTTGAAATCCATTTTTCTACTGAGGTTCCTTGAGGTTCTTGTATTGAACCCGTCACACGGTGTCGCAGCGGTGAAGGTGTTTACTCTGACGGAGGACGACTATATCTTTTCGGGTGAGGAGATGAAGAAACTGGAGAGGGTTACATTGCTGGCGGTTGAGAAAGTGCTGAAAAGGTAAGCCTGGGACCTCGGGGATTGCAGTCAAAAATATAATATTTTTAACAATAATTGTTGATTCTGTGATGTACAAAGTGAGAAAAACTCACTTGCCTGGGTTTGGGATATTAATCGAGATGTGAAGTATGGGGATGGAACCGGGGACCTCTCTGTTCTTAGGCGTAAAGAAGAGGCGGCTCTCACTGAGAGTGTCTGCTCACTTATCGAGATGAGAGGTGTTGGCATGCAACTAACAGCCGACCCGACAGCTAAAGACGTAGCAGAGATATCCCGTGGTTCGCACAAGAATGATGGGCAAGCTGTCGATGTATTAGCGAGCGACTCCGCATATGACGACAAGTGCATCTCTAGTGGTGGAGGAGTTTAGGTGGGTCATACTGTTTCGTGTCACCATCGTATGCGTATAGAAGCGACCTCGACGCTAATAGACGTCAATCAGTGTGGTTGGAAAAAGAACAGGTGCTGGTTTCTGTGGTTGTCGCCTCATTAGGTTGTCGACTGAATTCCACGTTACTAACTTGAGTCAGATTTTAACTGAGATTTGGCTTCTCATCAGCGGCTTGGGGTGAAGTTTATTACTGGACGCTACTTTACTCTTTCTCACAGGTTATTCCCTCGCGAGGAGTCCATGAATTACTCCTGTGGCGAGGATTAGGAAATGCTCAGTGTGAATTAATGGTTTATCTGCATTCTTTGTTCTCCTATCTTATCGTTCTTGTACTTCTTGTTGTTGCATTTGACACTGTCGTCATGTCGCTGTACCAAAGTTGACCATTCTTATTCATTCCTTTCACTCTGTCCTGTGTGACCGACACATATCTTTTTCCTCTTTGACCACCTTATACTAAAGTCTTTGCGTGACTGCAATTGAGTTGATAAGTTGGGGATGGTACGATTGAAATGATGCCAGGGTGATTTAACTTAGCCCTCGAGACAGAGAAATAGAGCTCGGTTTGATTGTACTGGTGCGTTAAGATGCGTTCGTGTCTGGTCATATGAGTGTGATCGTCTCACATAGTATGTGACACGTACTATCGAGTGTTGGTATTGACTTGGCAGTGATACTCAGAATAGGCAACTGAGGGCTTTGGCACGAACTGCAAAAGATATTTCCACAGCTGTTTATTATCGACAGTGCACGACTGGCCACTGTCAGACTCTGGTAGTGTCGGGTGCCTCCTGGCTGTTGCTCGGATGGTGTAACATCTACCGAATCCTCCATCATAGCATTTACGAGTCTCCCTCAAGAGCCTTCAGCACTACGGTGAATAGAGTCCAGGATTCTTCAACACATATTTTAGCCAACGTCTCATTGCATGATATGCTTATTAGCCAATGATGAACGTGATAAAACAATATAACGTGAATCGCGTTATCATTATGGATGATAATCTATCAAACTCACCTCAACGTAAGATGAGGCATTTGAAGACTTGTGTTATCTATAAAGGTCATTCCTCAACACTCATGTGTTAGCATTAGAGACTATAACTTAGAGTGATACGCTTACATATGATACGATAACCACATACGTTTGCGTATGCGACGTATTCGACACTGACGGTGCTGCCTGAGGCCCTCGGGAACAGCTGTTGTTTACTCGCTGTCCGACGATTCCGTCTCTCGTACCTGAGAGTGCGACGCAATGGCATGCGAATCCACTCTCTCAATGCGTGAGAGTGAATTCGCTTGCCAGGATACTCACAGAAATTTTCTGTCAGAAAAGAGAGCAGCTGCACCCAGATGAACTTCATAATCGCCGTGAGGCGTAGGAAATACTGATGGAATCACTCCTGGAAGCAACGGCGTCTCCGCAGAGTGAATCACCCTTACCGGGAAGTCCGTCTCGGGCGGTCTCGCAGAGGGATCTGGCAAGTCGGGCTCAGGGTTCGGGTCCCGGGCCCGACATTTCCCGACCTCTGTCGACGAGGCTGCTGTTGCTATGCGATGCGGGAAGTTGGTCCGGGCGGTCTCCGAATGGAGGTCCGAACCACCGGACCTCCATTCGCATCCAGCACGGTGTGATGCAGAGCCGCGACTTCATCCAAGTATAGTATATTCAGCCAAGACATTTCAGCGACCAGCGTTAATTCTTCGCAGTGCGTTTTCCGAGATTTTCACACCAATCGCCTATCCTGTCTCACCTCAGTCCAGAGGGAATCAGTAGAGCCTGCATGGGGATTTTAAGTGATTTTCTGACAGAGGTCGCCTTGGATACTCGTATGCCCATGATGGATAATTTGAAAGTGAAAACAAAATGGAAATCCATACTCTGGCCAGCTTGCTTGAGTGATTTTTAGGTACCGTAACGGTACTACCGTTCCCTTTCCAAAATCATCCGTAGACACTCCATAACAGCAAGCTCCATACAGTGTTTTTGCTGGTCGAGTATCAGCCACACTCATACAACAACCCAGTGGGTTGAACCCGCACCAGTCAGCCTCTATCCAAGACAGCAAAATGACAAGCAAAAGATGCTCAACATTCTTATTCCAGTTCCTGGGCGTTTCAGTGATAGGCAAAAGATGCTTAGCATTCTTCCGGTCATTGAACTTCCCTATATTCCCCGACTCTGCCACAATTGTATCCTATTCAATCAATTTACTTCACATTTGGGGCATGTATGCCGCCGGCTCCCATATGGCTGGATACAAACGAGGTCCATCGAGGGTCCATTTCAGGATCCTCGAAATTTCAAAGCGATTATCCGTTATCGTTTCCCCTCCTCAGTCCTTCTCAAGCCTCTGACCATACGCCGGGTGATTTCTGCCGTTGAACGCATGTATGCGTTATCAGTGATAACGCACATATGCGTTATAATAACGCCGTTATGACATTAGATCAAAATATATTGAGTTCTAGTTTTCAATAGCCTGTTGTATGGCTCTGTAGGTAGAAAAAGGGGAAAATACGATATAGCGAACCTTGTACAGGTCTCTCAATCCCGAACACTGTCGGGCTTGTCGTCAAACTTCGGGGACTGAAGGCTCTTCAGCGAAGGGTTGCGCAGCAAATAGCACCGGCGACCTTCTTCGCCGAAATACGTGAAAAAATCCTCACATATGAAAGGAGACAATTAGCTTGGAAAAGTGGAATCTCCGGCCGGGATGGGCGTTGATAAATTATCACCGACCATACCTGTATCATCGAAGCTACGCCCGAAGGACGGCATTGTCGTCATTCCCCCAAGTTGCTTAGCCGAGATACCGTTCCAGCTCAGAATAACTTGATGAGGACTAGCCAAGCTACCACCTAGTAACTGGGCGGATCAGCCCCTAGTTCGCGGATGATAGTATTGAGGTAAAATTTTCCCAGTACCAGCATATCCTGTGATATGGTAGTATCTCTTATCAGATCCGGCGATATTCACCAAAGTTGCCCTCACGCTTTCCACGATCTCCTGAGAGGCTCTTTGCTGGTCTGGATCCAGCCCTGTCAGTCCTGCTGAGTTTGACATGACAACAGCTATGAGTCGTAGCCTATGACAATCACTGCAAGACCAACACCATCTGTGATTTCGAGGATCGGTGGTTGTCAACTACTAAGGGTTGCAATATGGCAACAACTACTCGGTAGTACCGAGTCGGTACTTCGGTCATAGTCTTTGACCAACAGGACGACTCTTGTGACCAATTCTACTATAGCTGTGACTATCGCTAGCAGTTTGAGAATGCCACTCTGTACTCTAGCCGCTACCTCTACAACTATGATTTTTACAACAACGACAATCCCCGTAAGGCAGTTACCGATTATACTGATATTGATTTTTATACTGTGATGCAGAGATAATCTCTTGTAACGACAACAGCTACTGTGACCAATGGTGATAATGGCATTATGACTGTTACTGTGATTTTATCTACGACAACAGCGTCTGCGACCTACCACAATAACCACTATGGTTTTGTCCAGAAAAAAGTGGGTGAAGTGGAACTTCTTAACTTCCAAATCCCCTGTACCATGGATAGACCTTTTTGAAGGAAATAACTCGGAACAAGAACTGCGCGACGGGGACTAATCTCTCGGCGATGTGGATAAGTAGTTTCAGACAGAAGAAATAATAAAGCAATATGCGACAAATTGAATCCAACCTTGGACCGTACTCAACAGTGTTGAGTCAACACCAACCCAATCGAGTTGAACGTTGACTAAACTTGTCCTAAGTGTTGCCTTCGGGGACCCTTTTCCTTCCGTGGCACGCTCTGACCGGGGGTTCGATTCCGGGTGATGTGAGCGTCGAGCTGTGAGGCGACTAGGAGGAGAACCTTGTGGGTTAGCGTCGTTGCCTTGAACCGATTGACGTTCTAGGTGTAGCGGAGATACGAAGGTTGATGATGATCCGGATGGATCTGATGGATGCCTACAAGGATCCTGAGAAACAGCCTCGCCGCGATCTCCTAAAGATACTAGTCCAGACTTGTTCGAATGTCTAGTCCCCACCATACTAGATGCTCAGCGCGACAGTAGATAACTAGTTAGATGTAATACGATTATTGCAGATACGATGTAGCTATACGATGCTACAAAGATAACCAATTGGAACAGATCAGATCTATTCAAGTCCAGTTCACAGTTGAACTCACAAATGAACTTCAACTGAGTTACAACTCTGAGGGTCTAATTCAGGCCTTCGCCTGACAGCTACAATCCGTAACAAGGATCCGAAGCCGTACGATATCAGATGATACTGGGCGCGCGCGATATCAAAGTACGCTGATGAGAATGAAATGCACGGATAATGGTTCGCTTCGCTTACCCGCCGTTCACAGTAACGGCATTTTTCTGCTATAAAAGTTCTGGAATTCAGTGCCCGTCTAGGAACGCGTGAGGTTGACAACCTCAGGTTGTTTCGAATTACTCCCGCCTACTCGACGCGGGCCACCATTTTCTCTTCGTCGCTACCAATTTTTCTCGCGCTCGCCAGTAATTTCTCCTTCGTCCCACTTCTGGTTACCTTGGGTGACAGCTTTCACTCTTATAACCGTTCGGGTTTCTGGTTACTCTCAATGCAACGATGAATGAGTATCTCCAAATAGAGGTTGCTCGTAAATGTGAATTAATAACTGCTCGTGATTACTTTTTCTGCCATCTTGTCAATTTTCTTGTTGCCCCCGTTTAACACTGTATTATACTTGATTGAGCTGTTTATTTCCAATGACGATAGCTCACATGCGTATAATAATGATAAGCTCTCAAGGGTCTTACTGACAGTAGGCTATTGTAGGACCCTCCTACTGTGAACATATAAGAGCTTCTAGTGGATGTGGTCGCGTTAATAGTTGAGTCTCCTAATTCGTGGATAATATCCACTGGATATCTAAGTGAGGTAGTTGTCCAATTACACCTATCCAGGTATCTTGAGGTCGACCATGAACCATATCTCTAGGTCGATAATGGAATATCCTGATGCGCATGCGTTCAGTTTGGATTGAGAGCCACAAAATGACCATAAAACGACCAACACGATCATCACGAAAGAACCGTTCACGTTACCCCATCATACTAGCCCTATCGCTGATCGGCCTTTTCTTCTACTCATCTCTATCCCTCTTCCAGTGGCTTCGGTCCACCCCTAAGGCCTTAGACCTTGCCAGATCTTCAAAGGGGACCTCTGAGGAGTTTGGTATCATCCCAGTTGGCCAGGCCGGTACCACAGCGTATGAGCTCGAGTGTTGCACACGTTCATCAAGTGATTCGTCTGAGTGTCAGCCTATATCATTCTGGCACGATGTAATGCCTCGGTCTTTCCGCTATATATTCTTGTGATAGGTTCCGTTGTATGTGAATGACAATGATGAAGGCCTTATTAGAATGGCGGTGGAGATTCCTCGATTCACTCGTGCTAAGATGGAGATCAGTCGTGAATCGTACAACTACCCTGCAGTGAACCCAATCAAACAGGATCTCTTCAAAGGTGACTTTTGTCGTCTGCAGTCGGCCGTTATGCTTGTTCTCAGATGGTTCCCTGCGCGAGTATCCCGGAGCTATATACTGGAACTACGGCGCGGCTCCACAGACGTTCGAGGTCGGCAAGAAATTAACGAGTTGTTGGTTATACTTCTATTCTTTCTATGATGGAAAAGTGTGGAAAAATATGCAACATAGTCAATCACGTGATGATTATTCCTGAGAAAATTTTGGAAAATTCTCGTTGGTTTCTGTACACTTCAGCCCGCTTTCGTGTGAATGATGAGAATTTCGAAGAATTCCCCGAAATGTCCTCAAAATTTTCGTATTGTCATCAACACACGTATTGGAACATGTATATATTTTCCAACACTGTGTTAAAGTATGTGATAGCATCGCTAAGGACAGTTGATTCATCTCAGGACCCGAATGTCGAGGAGGAAGTGGGTCTCTATGGCGATGGAGATCCTTTAGACTTGATAGAAGTGGGCCGACCAGCGACTCAGTATCATACAGGCCAAATAATCAGCGTTAAAGTAGTACCAGTTTAGAATAGTACTAGTACTGCTAGAATTTCGCGTAGAGTAGTACCAGTAGTACTGCTAGAATTTCGCATAGAGTAGTACCAGTAGTACTGCTAGAATTTTGAATAGAGTTAAACAAGCTTAGAATAGTACTCTGTGGGGGTCGTTCAGATTCTGGGAGCCCTGGGCCTCGTCGATGGGGGAGAGGCTGACTGGAAAATCATCGTTATAGCGACCGACGATCCGTTGTTCGACCGGATTAACGATATAAATGATGTAATGTTGGTCACTTGGGATGACGGTTCGAGTAGTGTGGGGAAAAATATGCACATGGTCAACTACGTGTGTTGGTGATGACAATATGGAGATTCAGAGGAACTTTTGGGGGATTTCATTTCGTTTCTGCGCACTTCTATACCAAGTCTAGTGTAAACGCCTTTAGTTTGCGAGGATTCTCCTGAGCTCAGCTGAGGAAAGCGGATATATTTTCCAACACTGTGCGAACGAGTATATCAGTTCATTGATTCATCTCTCGATAGTTGTCGAAATTTTTTCCGGAAAAAAAGTTTTTTTCCATAATTTTCGACGGGAATTACCATTGTTCCTTGAGAGAAAGCATTCGCAAATGCACATGCTACGATCACTTTAAAGTCGCGATTTTCCGATGGGAGCTCCTATCTGTATCGTTTTAGTTGGAATCAGCTTATCCCAATACCATTTCGGGTATCAGAGAGTGGTTCAGGTGGTATAAATATCCAACGCAGTAAGTCCAGCAGTCGTGTTCTAAGGATCTTCATTCTGACTTTTTCAGTGGCGTCATCAACTCCTTTATGCACGGTGGTCAGCCTTTGAACCGTCGTAAAGCTGTCGATCTTGTTGCTCGGACTCACGTTATGTGGAAGCGCCGTTTCTCACCCGATTCCGAGTCCTATGGAGTGTGAAAATGAGCTCAACGATATCAGCAGTGTTTCGCTGTCAATTCAAACGAGTGGGAACTTCTTCATACAGATTGTCACTAAATCCGCGAAGGGTTTGTATGAAGTTCTCATGTTACGGTATCACATTTTATGCCTCACTCACATCGTTATCGCGACTTCATCGCCACCTGAGCTACTCAGTATCGTACAGCGTACTCTGGAGGACTCGAGGAAGCACCGCATAGCTCTGTTGAGTGGTATAGAACCCAATACCAGCGAATGGTCCCAGCGATATTGCCACTTGGTGAGCCTCGTATAGGCTATTCTGATGGTTGTCCCGGTATGCTCATATGAATGCGCTGGCACTCACGAAAGGTTCGTTTCTCGCGTATAACGCTGAGTATGGTAACCATTCGGTAGCGGCTTTTCATCAGGGTTGGGGAAATATATGTTTGCTTTTCTCAGCTGAGCTCAGGAGTTTCCTCACTATTTATCGAAGCTTGCTTACGATTCCAGATAGAACTTCCCCAAAATTTCCTCTCAGAATTTTCATATTCTCACCAACACATGTAGTTAACAATGTGTATATTTTCCCACACTGCTTTTCATTGAGCTAAACTTCATCTGAATGATTCTCGATCGTACCACGGGTGTAGGTGAACACAGCGCGGGAGATCTCATTTGAAGACAACAACTGGGGAGGAGAAAGCGCTATGGCACTCAGACTGGATGAACATGATGAGGAGGGAATTGATGTTATCGGATTTTTCCCGACCCGTTCGACCAAAAACAAACGACTTGTTTCTAGTGAGGTCGTCATTGCGAACGAAATTTTCATTGCTCACTGTCAGCACCGAATTTCTCCCCCCACGGTTACCTCATAAAAATATCATCTTCAAAGAAGCTCAGTCTGGTCGATTACGAATCGGGCTATGGGGAGATATTCTCCACGGTCTTACCTGGCAACAGGACTGTTACGCCGCGACTAGCCGTCGGAGCGCTCTCTAACGCTGGGGGCCGAATTGTGACAGCAGTTGGAAATAAAATATCAATATTTTTTCTGGAGATTAAGAGTCCCGTGTCCACCCCTGAGGAGAGAAGTCGTTGGCGAAACGTCCAGTCAATGTTTATCGATCGACCTCCGAACGTAACACTGTGGTCGAGACGGTTCGTGGAGGTGGGGGAGTCGGAAATTATCGATCTTGTGGTGCTGCCGCTGGGCCGGGCTCCTACTGAGGACCGCAAGGCTCATATCATCACGGGTGAGATCCTCACTGCGGTCGGACGTGATTACAATGGTGCAAGGTGTCCGAATAAAAATGTGATTTTTCGAATAGCTTTTTGTGCAAGTTGAATATTCATAAAAGTTGGAAAAGCCGTGAAAAGGGAGCAGTTATGCAGTTATTACTCGAGTGAAATAACAGCTAAGTGCGACCTGCTCCATTATAAGCAATCTTTTGACGAGCGTGTAAGTTGGTTTTCTCGTGAGTGCCGGCGAGGCTTCCAACAGCACTGGCACCATCTGAATATTCACCTTGCACAAAAATTTATTCGGAAATCCCCTGTAGTTACTTCTTCTGGTGGTCTTTGGGTTCTGAATCTTGATGGTGACGTGTTGTGGGAGTCGGACGATATGATCGGCGTTATCGGTGTGATACCAATAAACAAGTCTGGACATACCGCTGTTGCATACGGTAGGGACCTAGTTGGTGACCTTGGAGAGCAGTGTTGGAGGAATATGTAATTGCTATCCTCAGCTGAGCTCAGGAGTTTCCTTACTAATTATGGAGTTTGCATGGGTAGAAGTGTTCGAAAACAACTAAGATTTTCTTTCAGAATTCCTATATTGTCACCAAAACATGTGGTTAACCATGTGCATATTTCCCTCTCTCCATATTGCTGGAAAGTGATCAGTACTTCAGGCGATTCTTGGGTGAGGGTCATCGTCATTAGTGACGATATCATCACTAACGCGGTCGTAGATGGTGTTGAAAGCTGGCTCGTGAGACGCTATGATTCCCCATGCAGATATTCTCACGTTTGATTAGTTCGGTCGGCGCATAGTGAAAATGAGAACCGGGCACCGCTTGGGGTCGATGATGACGATCTTTGCGAGTCTTGATGACGGTAGCGTGGTGGCGCTCGGCCTCAAGAAGAACCAGAAAAGTGGTATGCCAACAGCTTATACACTCGGAGATAAGTTTAATTTGGTTTGGCTGTTTCTCACTTGAAAAGGCAATTGTCAGGTCTTTTTTCTTTCCCAACGTGCAAGCGTGGTGAGGTATTGTTGCTGCCTCTACAGCCCCACGTTGTGGTGCTCATTTGTGGTCGAGTCATATCTGTGTACGATATAAAGCTGGCATGGAGCCGCTCACTGCAAGCAATCCGGCAAGGCGGTTCGGATGATACCTCCACTATGGAAGGCCGTCCCCTGTTGAGGGAGATGTACCGTGTCACGACCGGCCTACCGACTCATGGGGCTAGTGTGTGGTGGAGGGAGGCCGTCCATGGGGAAGTGGGGAGCTCTAGGGTATCGATGCACTAGTCATTGCACTCTCAGATTGCTATTCACAGTGAAAATAGGATACGCATATTTGATGTGATCATACCCGAAGACCGAGATGAGGAATTTGAGTCCGAGCAAACGATGTGGCAATACTTCCGAGCTTGCCTTGGGTTAGTTGGTGCGGTGGGAGTGATTATTTACATGTAGGGTGGAAAAGTAGCAGCCGTGGGATTCGAACCTGGGTGGAATGCCACAATGTCATCTCCTCCCTTCACTGGGTCAATTCACTCCCTTTCATACGTAGGTACTTCAACTTCGGACCAGAGAAACCCTCGGCCCCCCACGAGTTTCCCGATGTTATGAATGAGGCCCACCCATTCCCACGCGACCTTGTCAGTGGCGGCTAGCACATCAGCTGCTGCCCGCAGCATCAGTGAGGATGATACGAGTATTGCAATTGTCGCCATGACTTTCCACACAGTCGTACTGTGAAGACTATTTCTCACTATACTGTTGCGAGTTCAGTAGGGGGACACCGACACAAAAGAGCCGCTCGGAGCTGTCCCTATGGAAAGTAGAAATGTTGTGGTTCCCACGAAGTATTTTGAGCCTTGTGGTCCTGTCAAAGCGGACTATGCTGAGGGAACTATTCAGTGCATAGTATGCATATGGTAGAGATATACAGTGATGTGTGCTCGCTGGTGTCTCTCTCCTGGTTGTCTCCCGTGTCGTAGGGCTTTGTGTTACGCTGAGGGTAGCTAACTCGTCCTACCGAACATCCACATCATCAACCAAATACATATTGTATTTATCTATTTCAAGTAACAAATATGGTTTACGAAGCACCTCATCTGAAGATCAAGGAAGGTGACATCAAGTCTGTTGTCTGCGCTGTCGGTGATCCTGCCCGTGCTGAACTTATTGCCACCAAGTACTGTGATTCCTATAAGGAGCTTGCTTACAATCGTGAGTATCGCACATTCAATGTGACGTATCAAGGTGCTGAATTCAGCGTTGCCTCTCACGGTGTTGGTGGACCCGGTGCTGCTATCTGCTTCGAGGAGCTTATCAAATGTGGTGCCAAGGTTATCTTGAGACTTGGTACTTGCGGCTCCCTCAAGCCGGAGACGATTGATCAGGGTGATCTTATCGTCACCACTGGCTCTGGTGCTGAGGATGGTGTTTCTGAGTATCTCGTTCCCAAAGGCTTCCCTGCTGTTGCTGATCCTACCTTATGCATTGCTATGCGTGATACCGCCAAGTCCCTCGGATATGATAGGGTCTTCTTCGGTATTACTGTAGCTCAGTCGGTGTTCTATCCTAGTCCTGCTCGTGAGCAGAGTCTCGCTTCCTATGCTGCTGCCGGTGCTATCGGTGCCGAGATGGAGAACTCCGCTCTATTCAACGTTGCTTCAATCAGAGGTATTCGTGCTGCTGCCATTTGCACAGTTGATGGAAGCCCATTGAAGTGGGATGAGGGTGACTACGATCCGCATGGCACTAAGGTCGCTGAGGGTAAAGATCGTATGCTCAGGACCGTTGTTACTGTGCTAAGAGAATGTTCTGAGAAACCTTTAGAAAGGTTGTTAATCCTCATCATTCATAACTACCATCTGATATTAAATGAGTATTAATTTCTGTTCTGCTCTCCCCTTACTTTCTGTTGTTCCTGTTGATGGCTCTACCGAGCTTTTATAGTCCCTTCGGCTATGGAAAGAATTGGTATGTTGTGTTTGTCAGTGGTGTGGGAAGTTGAGCTGGTGTGAGAATTGTACCATAGTTCGTAGTTGCGTAGCGACCTATACTGATGTTCACTTAAACTGTGAATATAGTTCAAGTTCGTAGAGGTTGATGAGTGAATAATTGGAACTTATGAAGACATTCTGGTTGGTATTACAAAAACCAAACCATCCGATAGTTACTCAGTAGTGAGAGGCATTTTTGTATATTATTCTAATCGAGTTCCTTCCCCTGTGAATGTGGAAACAACCATGATGAAGCATATCCTAAGGAATGCAGGAAACTTGCTTTGGTTACCGTATTTCTGACATTGCTACATATTTCGTGTACCTTGGCCTGTCTCGTGGTGGTGACTGCTTGGGTGCGGCTCGTCGTGACGTGTATGACGTGACTCCCTTCACGGGAGTCGTAGTTGTTCTAATTGGCGAGCTTCCATGTGTAGGAAAACCTTCGCCTTGTCCGTTACATCCGGCGTAGGATGTATCCTTTTACTTCATTACTTCATTATTTTACTCCGTTACATACGGAGATGAGTTTTCTTTTTAATTGTCGCATTGCTGCAGTGTTCCAAGATGGCTACTGGTTGTACATACTTGTAGATTTTCAATATCAGTACTGGCTATCGTATATCATGGATATTTACTCTGTTATCATATTCCAAATTAATAACTCTCCGTTATTGGAGCAGATGAAAACTTGAATTTAGGTCTTATACAGCTCTAACACGTAAGGTCGGTACTGCTGATGAACGAACTTCATTTGGTTAACTTCACCGGATGACGCCCCCCTTCAACTGTTATACTAATGCACAGAAGAATTCATTCTCGTGACATCATGTGTTCCTAGATCGATATGGCCTAGATCTCACCAGCAACGAATCGTCCCAACCATCTCACCAACAACGAATCGTCCCAACCATCTCACCAACAACGAATCGTCCCAACCATCTCACCAACAACGAATCGTCCCAACCATCTCACCACAACGAATCGTCCCAACCATCTCACCAACAACAAGTCGTCCTTTCCAAACTCTACCTCAGCCACAAATCATTATAACTCCTGCTTATTCACCAATCTCTACAAACCTGAAATATTTTTACAGTTACGTCAATAATGTTCCCCACACTGTTACGAACCATGATACACTTCCACTCCTCAATCTCCCACACCACTGATGAACACAACATAGCAATCATTTCCATAGCCGAAGGGACTATCAAGGCTCGGTAGAGCCATCAACAGGAACAACAGAAAGTAAGGGGAGAGCAGAACAGAAATTAATACTCATTTAATATCAGATGGTAGTTATGAATGATGAGGATAAACAACCTTCCTAAAGGTTCTCAAGAACAATCCTCTTAGCAACAGTAACACCGGTCCTGAGCATACGATCTTTACCCTCAGCGACCTTAGTGCCATGCGGATCGTAGTCACCCTCATCCCACTTCAATGGGCTTCCATCAACTGTGCAAATGGCAGCAGCACGAATACCTCTGATTGAGGCAACGTTAAATAGAGCGGAGTTCTCCATTTCGGCACCGATAGCACCGGCAGCAGCATAGGATGCGAGACTCTGCTCACGAGCAGGACTAGGATAGAACACCGACTGAGCTACAGTAATACCGAAGAAGACCCTATCATATCCGAGGGACTTGGCGGTATCACGCATAGCAATGCATAAGGTAGGATCAGCAACAGCAGGGAAGCCTTTGGGGACGAGATACTCAGAAACACCATCCTCAGCACCAGAGCCAGTGGTGACGATAAGATCACCCTGATCAATCGTCTCCGGCTTGAGGGAGCCGCAAGTACCAAGTCTCAAGATAACCTTGGCACCACATTTGATAAGCTCCTCGAAGCAGATAGCAGCACCGGGTCCACCAACACCGTGAGAGGCAACGCTGAATTCAGCACCTTGATACGTCACATTGAATGTGCGATACTCACGATTGTAAGCAAGCTCCTTATAGGAATCACAGTACTTGGTGGCAATAAGTTCAGCACGGGCAGGATCACCGACAGCGCAGACAACAGACTTGATGTCACCTTCCTTGATCTTCAGATGAGGTGCTTCGTAAACCATATTTGTTACTTGAAATAGATAAATACAATATGTATTTGGTTGATGATGTGGATGTTCGGTAGGACGAGTTAGCTACCCTCAGCGTAACACAAAGCCCTACGACACGGGAGACAACCCGGACAGACCCGGGTTCGAAACCCACGAGGGGTATTTCTTCATGCTGTCGAGGCGGTACGTGGGCGCTGACTCCTTGAGTAAATCCTCATCTCGGTCTTCGGGTATGATCACATCAAATATGTGTATCCTATTTTTACTGTGAATAGCAATCTGATAGTACGATGACTAGTGCATCGAATCGATGCCATCGATACGGCCTTCCATAGTGGAGGTATCATCTGAACCGCCTTGCCGGATTGCTTGCAGTGAGCGGCTCCATACCAGCTTCATATCGTACACAGATATGACTCGACTATTGCGTAACTGGGTTGGAGAACTTCAGTACTTTCAGTTCCCAGCTCCACTGCTCTCAGCGAGCGTCGGCTGATCTCTAGTCGAGCCTGTTCTCACCTCCAACAATTCGTAACAGGAACCACGAGTGCCCTAGACTATCGAAATCAACAGAACAACTAGCATGAACAAACCCGAAAACTTACTCACGGTCCATGGTAAGATCACATCTCCAAACATAACACCACAGTGCAGAAGAAAATAACATTAAAATTCGCGATAATACAGTTGACGTTGATCACCATCCATAAAAGTAGGTTGTACATCACTCATTCTTCCCGTCTTGAGGACTTTCGCCGGGAATTCATCGATGTGAATCTGAACCGGGACGAAGATCAACTAAGACGCAATTCTCCTATTCGTCTGTACGCTAATCTCTGGCTCGTCCCTAGGTTGCTTCTGCGGCAATTTCGTACGTGTTCGAATCTGCGAGTTCTGATCACCAAAAAGCAGATGTCAAAAGTTTGACAATAACGACGAACGATTTTCCCTCCTTACGTTCTCTAATCTGTCGTCGGAAATGACACCTAACGTATTCTCGTTCTGAAGCTTGTCGTTAAACTGTGGCGACGCCGTGTACCCTCCATGAATGGGTCGATACATTTTAGCGTTATTTATTCCGATCGCCATGAGATATCCAACCGATGAAACTGAGTTGACGAGATTTGGAACTTGGCAACACCACGCTGCAATCACCATTACGCTATGTATAAGGTACATAGTACGACATATACTCGAGATCATGGATCTTCAAATGGTGTTTGGATAGAGTACGATTATAGGATAAACATTCCACCAACAGAACCGAAGAGTAGCTTTCAGGCGTTGTAACGTTGATCGGACTGTCGTAGTAAAAACGCTCACAAAAAGGGGTTCTAGAGGCTGTTGTTGTATAATTTTAAACGCGCTGACGTGGTATGGTAGCCATACCACCCCGCCAAATTTTCAATTTACGTCTCGACCTCGGCCGGCTTCCCACGCGGCGAGATTATCTGCAGTACAGTAGAGACCATCAATGATATAATACAGTGCGGCTGGGCTGACAGCCAAAGTATCGGGCGGCTTATGGCTACAAGTCATAGAACGCTAGAAGAGGAGGCGAACATCGTTCTGATAGATGGGCCAAAGATAACACATATTAGAGTTGTGAAGAAATTGCTTAATCACACAAATGATGTCTCCGGCAAGTGAGCAGCGCGGACGCATTCGCTTGGCGGGAATAGTATGAACGGTGCACATTCAAGGTCACCGTAGAGGATTTCCTGAGAGGAGCATGTGACGGTGGCATTTCCAGCACAGATGACAAACCATGCAGTGATGCTCGATAGTGCCTTCATTGAGGTTGAGTTCCCATAGGATGTCGTAACGGTCATCAGGCCATATTGGATGCCTGGCCTGCTCGTACGAACGGTTGAATCGAAGTACGAGACCGATCGCTACGGCGGGCAAGCGATAATGTTCCCAAACCAGCAGAGGTGTGACTCCATCTAATACGACGCTTTGGAGATATCGTATCAGTGAAAACTCATCCGTGTGCCTGTGCTAAGGTTGAAGCGAGTTCACACCGCGGGCTTGTTCAGTAAACTAATACCGGACCTCATGACTGATCATGAGGATGCATTCTAAGATGAGAAATCACTTCCAGAATCGATTGAATTTCCGAATTAGTTCGCAACTACCCCAAAGGGTCACCTAACTTGAATCGTCTCAACGGAGTGGTACCGCTATTGCCAACGATAACTTCAGCTGTATGCAGTTCTCGTTCAATGGGGAAAGTATCAGAGGGCTGCTGAGTGACCACCACATCTGAAGGCAACGAGTAGCTTATTCTGCACGCGTGCGCAAACCATCATCTTTTACAGCTTTTCAACGACAATTTCGCCGACGGTGAGATGATTTCTCTGGTGGGGCCGATATGCCACTCCAAAAACACCTCCTGGTAAAATTCACACAGGGCTTATAGAAATCAGTCCCTAGTTGGCATATCTGCCCCCCATGAGCATCAGTCCCGGGTTGGCATATTTGCCCCTTCATGGACATCAGTGCCACGTTGGCATATCTGCCCCTCATGGATATCAATTCCTGGTCGGCATATCTACCCCTCATGGACATCAGTCCAGGGTCGGCATATCTGCCCCTCATGGACATCAGTCCAGGGTCGGCAATCTGCCCCTCATAGACATCAGTCCCACGTTGGCATATCGGCCCCTCACGGATATCAGTTCCTGGTTGGCATATCTGCCCCTCATGAACATCAGTCGTGGATTGGCATATCGGCCCCTCCAATCGGATTCGCCTAACAACGGGGTCGATTTCCACAGTTCGCCATACTTCATCTCCCTCTTCATTGTGCCATCAAGATCGACCCTCTTCTCTTATACATTCATGTTATCCCCTGCTATCGAGAGAACTACAAAGAGGTTCTCTCGGCGTGGCATACCGGCCCCACCAGATGACTCCGCCTCACCAAGACCGGAATAAAACAGTGTGGAATTTCATACGAATGAGTATGGAAGAGGTCAGATCTCCAATGCCCTCAAAAACCCACGGCTTAGAGAAAGATCGAGACCCTCCCTCTGCGAGGAGTAGAGAAGCTCACCTATGGGTCCGTATTTGGGCTTGTTATACTTCGGAAAGAATACGGCAGATAGAGCTGCGGCCCTCATTTCACCCCTACAAAATGAAAAGGAGCTCATCGAGACCGCTCAATAATCATCACTACAAGAATCAAGTGTAATCAGCGCTGATGGTTTATTTACCTTGGTGAAAGATCAAGGATGTGTTCTGCCCCCGCTTTCTCTCCGTGCCGTATGAGGTAAACAGGAGGATACTGCGTGCGAGCTAATACCACTCGATGAAGGAGGGCCCCAGTAATTGCGAGGAACCCCATGCTAATCATCATCGCTAACTTGGGTTGAAAGCCTCAAAGTCAGCAGCGCCTCTTTGAAAAACGACTCGGCAAGACTACAGTGAACCTCGAGATACGGTTATGATACAGACCAGTCACGGGTTGAATATACGACACTGTTGGGGTCGTGACCGACCAGAGTTGTATACGACCCCATCACCGGCAACAAGACACCCCTTCCACTCAAAACTAACATGAAGCGCTCCTGAGTATGAGAAGCTGGGTAGCTTGAGCGCATCAGTCTCAACTCAGCATTCTCATATTCTCTCGAATTCCGAAATCCAGAGATGTTGCTAGACATAAGATCATACGCTTTAGGCGTATGTGTTATGGAAAGCTTATGGTACTCGAAAATCCTATAGTTTCACACTGTAGTTATATTTTTTGTAGAAATGGGTTAGTCAATCAGGCGTACAAAAGAAGGCATCATATCTTGAAGGCCCATCACTTTACAACTCCTAGTAACATCCTTGCTGAGGACGATTACCCTCACATCGTTGTTTATCACGTCAAACGCCGAAACCGATGCAATACATACTAAAACCGAACACAGCGTCGATCGAAAACATAATCTTAACAACAATACAGCAAATGAAGTAACTATTTCTTCATTTCGTTAAGTAACTTCTTCACTTCCTTTATTTCCTCCTTCAACCACTGCTTTCTGCCATCATCACACTTGCCCTCGTCCAACTCTGTTTGGTATTGCTCTAATTCCAGCACCAATACGGCCCGATCGGCCTCATCCTCGGATATGTCCGGCAAGGGCTCGAACTTGATGGCATCTTGAAAAGCTCTCGCCATCTCCATCTGCTCCCGATAGGTTCTGCTGACCTCACCAATCAAATTGTTTTTCGCCTTCTCTTGGATGTCATCACCTCCACCATGAATCTCGAACAGAGCTGATAGCAATCTCGAAACCTCGTTCACAGTGCATCCGGACAAGCGTTTCTCTTCAT